TTAAAACTTCCTTACCTGAAATAAAACTGTGAATAGTTTCTTAAATTACTTACAAACCTGAAAATCTGTCACCTTATTTCTACTACAATGTTTGTTGTCCTTGAGAAGTTTTTTCGCTAGAATATCATCTTACGTCACGCAATGCTCGTACTACTTCATTTTCATTTTCTCGTAAAATGTGAATAATATTTGTCATTTATGTGACAAATATTTTTGTCGTTCAAAGGTTAATGATCAATTTGGCCACATTATTACGAATTACATTGTGTGAACTCTGACACTTTACTACAATATGAGAAATTTTTAATCTATTGCAAGTAATTAATTTGATTAGCAAAATTTGTTCAGTTTAATTTTACTTTCGAGTTGCTCATAACACGGATAAGCAATAGAAAGAGATGATATTGAAGAAAACTTTTCACTCATTCATCTCAAATTTGAAAAAGAGTCTCAAATAATTGCCAGGCATTATTGCTCATTCTTTGTCATAATTTTATCAAACGTTACTTTCGCTTCGCTTTGCTGTCTGAGAAAACGCACTTTTTTACTGAATATAATCAGAAATTTTTTACGATTTTGCACCAAACTCTGCTATAATTCTGCTCAAAATTTGCTCTATTAACGCCAATAATTATTTTAGAACTTAAAGAAAATCTCTGCTTCCAGTTGGCAACACAGTCTTCTTTCTCATCTATCGGTTAATATTAATAAATACTTCAATTGCTGTTAGATCTTTTTTCATATAAAAATTTTATTTAGTTTTTGTTAATCAAAAAAAGAAAAAGAAAAGATAGATTGTTACAGCTTTAAGCATTCACGTAATGACGGAGAGAATTTCTGTACCAGTTGACCCTTTATCACACAAACCAATCGAGTTATGGCGAAAATATATGAAAGAAGGACGTGTCTCAGAGCCTCTCAAAACATTACGGTAAGTTTTACTTGCTTTTAACGAGTAACAATTACTAATTTTTTGTATATCACATATTGATACTTGAACAAGTTCATACTAGTATGTCAATAAGTCATGAACTCGTTCAAATCACTTCAAATAAGATTTCAGACTTGACACGCCAATTTATGAGGATAAAATTCGATTTGTATGCATTTCGGATACTCATGAAAAAATGGAAGATGCGTTGACAGTGATACCCGACGGAGATGTGCTTATCCATGCTGGTGATTTCACTAATTATGGCGATATCGGTGAAGTGATAAAGTTTAATGCTGAAATTGGTATGGTATTTAGTTTATAAGTCAGTAGTAGATCATGCAAATGCAGTGTGGTCAAATTATGCTTGACCTTGGCAAATGAGTAGATACATATATAAATAAATAAACATACATATATAAATGAAAATAAAGAGCTACCTTTTATTGATAGCTAATATTTTATCATTTTATCTCTAAAGTTAGTATGCTAATTGAGATATTCTCCCAAATTTTAGATAAATGATTGATTATTGCAGGTAGTTTACCACACAAATACAAGCTGGTTATTGCGGGTAACCATGAACTTGGATTTGAAGATGATAAAGAACTGAATGAAAAACAACTCGCTGGATTAAATATGCTTGGCATAAATAGACCTTATGAGATGCTCACAAACTGCACTTACCTTTGTGATCAACAAATTGAAGTAATTCGCCACATTTTTCAACTATCTCATTTACGTTCTGTAGCTTTTTTCTATAAATAAAATAAACTTAAGACAGATTAAAGTTAAAAGTTGTAAACAATTTTAATAACAGAAATTGTCAAATCAAATTATGTTTAATTTGTTATATATACTAATAAAATATTGTAGTAACAGTGAATACAGTAATACCCAGCAAAACCCAAGAACCTCGAATTTTATATCATTCATGAAATTTGGTAATTTCTGTTCCCCTTAATTGTCCAATCAACAACAACGCTTGAGTGATAAAATTATACTTGATTTTTTGTTTCAGATCTATGGTTTAAAAATTTACGGTTCACCATGGCATTCAATGCCAGGTTATTCATTCTACCGCTCCCGTGGTCAATCGATCATGGAACAGTGGCAAAGGATTCCCTCTAAAGTTGACGTGTTAATCACCCATACACCTCCTCTCGGTAAAACAATTCCCAGTTCATCTACAACAAATTACTTATAGTATTTTTTTTAACGATATCGCATTTTCTTGGCTGCAGAAAAAGCAATCCTTTACGAAACTTCACTAAATAAGCCAAACAACTCATAATGATTTACTCAACGCACGGCCAATTTACATTTTCTTGCCTCCTAATTTTTCATTTCCAATTTCATGACATGGCGACTTTAATAGTTGGAACAAATGTGATGGCGTACTAGCTGGATGTGCCGATCTTTTGAATACTGTGGAGAAGCGCGTGAGACCTAAGTATCATGTTTTTGGGCATATCCATCAGATGCATGGTGCGACAACAAATGGATACACAACCTTTATAAACGCATCCATATGTGATCATAAGTTGAGGATAGAATATGACCCTATCATTTTTGACATTCCTTTGCCAGCTGGTCATAACAAGGATTGATTTCTTGCTCTGCGCAAATATGCAAATAACAGTAAACTCTGCTCTACAGTAAGGATTACCACATCCAATTTACTATGTGCAGAGCCTCGCACACATGTTGTCAGTGGAACGATAGCGCATCGAACATGCTCTTATACTTGTAAAGATGAAAAACTCAGCGATAAAGTACATAAACTTTTTTCTAACAAGCTCTTGTAATTCAAAGTGGAATATATGAGTTGTGAGAATTTAAATAACGACATCAGATGATCGCGGTACGAAGATGTTACAAATGAAACGATATGTTGCAAAAAAAATCACGTGCTTTCAATCTATTGTTTTTAATTCAGTAACTACATCGTATCTAAAAGTTTTCTTAAAGCAAGTTGTGAAAGTAAGCTCTCATCGACTTCACTTCTGGGAAACAGTGAGCAGATCTTTAGCTATAAAATAGCGTTACCAAGCATTTTTGTAATCTATGAACTGTATTTATAGCAAACAAAAAAATGTTGCGCAGACTTCTTCATCTTTAGTTAAGCCCCATTAATCAATCTCATTCACCTTAACCTGATTTTTAATATGCAACAACTAATGCAAATATTGTATAATTTGAGTCTAAGGATGACAATGTCTGTCATATTTTCAGCTCAATGAATTCTTAAACAAGCTGTACAATTTGATCTGGTGTAAGCAACTTTTTGCTATGATTATTGGGGAATATATAATGAAGCTACAACATTTGCATAAATCAGTGATCACATAAAATGGCACACTGCTTAACGAGCTCTGAATAGGATATCTAAAATCGCACGCAAACACAAACTGTACTCAGTATGATAAAAAATATGAAGTATCAAGTTTGTCCCAAATCAATTTATGATTGAGCTGTAAATTAGATTTGAGACCAGTAAAAATGAACATGAAAGAACATCCAACTGAACAATAAGTGACAAAAAACAACAAATATATAAATAGAAATATTTTTCCTCGAAAATTACATCACCTCAATGAACCGTCTTACCGTTGGATTGAGCATAGAATCGTTTATATTTGTCCCCGATATTTTCAAGATAGTATGTATCCGGGAATAAACTGAAGTCATTTGTCAAATCATTTTTTGCACCTTCTGGTTTATAAGGAGCTGAAATTAAGAACGTTACTACGGAAACAATTATATGGAAACGAACGATTATTTTTTGTTGTGGTATATTTCTATTCTACAGTGCATATTTTCTTAAATCCTATCAAATCAAAGAATTAAAGCCAAACAAAAGATATGAAAATAGACCTGTAGCTGATGTAAGCTCTTCTCTGAGACGCAATATTTCGTGATAACGTTTTGGTTCTACACATATGCGTCTATTGAGCTGTGATATAACTTGATTTACGCTTTTCTTTATTTTAATATATTGATCCTCTGAATCTGAAAAGCTTTAAATTAACATCGGTTCAGTGACTTAGCTTTTCTTGCGAGATTAAATAATGTTTCTCAGATGATAGCTAACTTCACGTTCTTTGGAAAATTTTGATTTCCAGGATTGCTACAGCTACAGATCATTTAATATTCCTAAATATTCGAACGAAATGATTTTAAGCAATTTAAAGATCTAAAAAAGCAAAAATTACAACATAAATTCTTAAAAATAACAGAACTGATATCATACTCTTCTCCATGAAAAATTAAATAGAGTATCGTCAGCGATACAAAAAAGACTACTAATACCTGAAACAAAGTCACCAACCCTGTTGTAGCATTGAAATATGAGCCGAAAAAGTAGCAGCAGCTACCCCACTACCATAAGAGAAGAAGAGAAGGCGTTGATTGATTATATGATCTTTACTGTTAGAACTAAAAAAAACTATGAGAAGTTAAGCTTATTTAGAGTACTTGCATAAAAATAATCTCAAATGCCAATAGTAGCTATCTTATGACAACTAAATTATAGTTGCAAATACATCAAAACTTATATGCCAATAAAATAAACTATCCATATGTCACAAAAATCAAAATAATAACGAATATCAATGTGTATGAAGCGTAAAAATTCCATTTTATTACTCAAACAAAGATTAGATAGTAATATTTTTTACAAACCTGAGCTAACAAGAATCAAGCAATTCGATAGGGAAGTAGGTTTACCAATAACATCAAATTTTGCCTTACATTTTTTTTCTAGCTCAGATTTTTTTCTTTGGTTTTATTAAACGTAAAACAACACAGAAAAGTGTTTGAATAAATGTCGATTTAAATTCACTTCTAGATCTGACATTATAAATATTACGAGTTAAGACTTACCGATAAAAGTAATAAATTAATTGTGAATATAAAGATGCAGTATACATATTCCCAAGTCGTCGATTAAGAACTAAAAATGGCTCTGTTTTTTTTGAATAAAGCACTGAACTCATTTTCTCAGTGGCTGCTACAAAGTCGCGATTCATATAGTTCATTTCACGAGGAGTAAAGATGAACCTAAAATTTTGAAAGCATTCATTGCCTTACATCGATAACAGGAAGTTCAAAATCATTTTTGTATTTGAAATTGGGTCTTTTATTAGTAACTTAAAATTAAGAATCGACTGAAATGTAAATCAAAATTTCTTGCAAAAGCATGCATTAATATTCCAGAAAAAATTTCTAACTTTTCAAGCTCCAGTTCTTGAATATCCAATAAATGATCATTATATCCATGTTTGAAGTCAAGAAACGCCAACAGTCCAAAAGCTTTTTTTACAAGACGAGTAAATGGACAGTGGAAAAACAGTGCATCAAATTTCGATATATCCACTCCTATAACGACATATTTTCATCTAATTGAATTAAATATCAAATCAGTACTTTCAAAAATGTAGAAGCAGTTACAAAAATTCCTAGAAAAATTTTTTTAAAAAATATTTTAAAAGTAGAAACCTTCATGTCTTAAACGATTTGATTTTTGGCAATACAACTCGTATGTCTGATGTAATGCAGTAAAATATGCCTGTATACTGGTTTGTCCTTCTACAATAGGATACTCTGAAACGACCGGTTGGTTTGGTTTATAAAAATCGTAGATATCAGCCATATACACTCCACGAAGTCCTCTATCGAATGAAACTATAGCATTTGGGCCGATTAAAGCTGCAAACGCTCCTACTCCTATAAATAAAAAGTATATTTAAAAAAATTAAACATCAGATTAGGAAACAATACTGCATAAGAGAATTCAATCTGTAAGGACTATTTTTAGAAAAAAAAGAAGCAACTGTATGTCATTCAGAATGTAAAGAGCTATATTTATTGAAAGATGAAAAAATATATGATTTTTTAAGTCTAGATCTCATTATAACTTCAATTTTTTTAAAGTTATGCGATAAGAGATTTTCGAAAGCTTTAGAAGCATTATCTCATATCTTAGAGTGCCACACTTTTGATAAGTTTTTCAACTGCTTAATAATGAGCATTTTAATAAATGACACACCTCCAGTGCACCGTGCAGGTCCTGCATCATAAAGTGCTATATCCGCCATAACAGTAATTGCATATCGCTCTGAAATTTATACGTTATTCAAGAGGAAATATAATTATAAGTAAAAAATGAAGTTTAATACCAGCAAATAAATCACAGTACAAAGTCTTTGTTGATTTTTTCGGCAAATATTTGAAAGCCTTCAACAAAAAATAAGTAGTCACAAACTTTCTATTTCCCAATTCGCATAAATCCAATCGATAGCGTGAAATAGAGCTTGAGTACCACCATAACACGCATTTTTCACATCAATCCCTTCAATATCACAATTCTCACCAAACAACCTCATTAATGAAGTTTTTACACTCTTGCTTTTATCAATTAACGTTTCCGTACCAACACATAAGAAGCCAATATCTTTCGTTGAAAGCTACAATAAAAATTTTGCAAAAGTAGGGATTATCCTATACACTTATGTACCATAAAACAAAAGAGGTATATGTTTATTTTCCAGAAATATAAGAATGGATGTAATGATTCAATATGTACGAAACTTTGAATGACTTGAAAAAAAAATGTCAATCCAATCTTTTTGGTTATTTTTGCATGAAAAATTTGGAACTAAGATTTCACTAATTTTGATGGCGAACTAATTCCGTTATTTTTATAGTGCTCTTTAACAATTATTCAAATACAACCAAAGCCATACATCGTAATTGTTCAGTAATTTTGATACGACTGTCAAACAAATGGATGTGATATCTTCATGATCAGCGCAGAAACTCATTTCGGATTGTCCAAGTCCAACTGTGTATTTACCTCTACTAACTTCATCAAACTGAAAGATCATACCGTATAGTGAAAATTTTCGCTTTTCTGATAATATAAGCATTAAACTCAAGCATTACAAAGAAATAGATGAACCAGGACGAGATTTTGCAACAGAAGCAATTAATATCATTCACATGTATAATATAAACTCAGCATTTTTTAACTAAATTATGTTGATTTTAAACCGTCAACTTATTATCCACAATCTCTGGATACTCAAAATATATTTAAGAGAGCTAGCATTAAAAAGTAATCTACACAAATATTACACCTAATATAATTCACAAAAAATGACTAACAACTTCAAGTTCCCTTAGTTTCACGTATAATTTTGGAAAATAAAATTCCATTCCACGTATGCCAACGTTTCTCGATGTCCAGTGTTCTTTCATAGGCTCCATTCTAAAATAATAATAATAATAATAATAATAATAATAATAATAATAATAATTAAATAATAATAATAATAATAATAATAATAATAATAATAATAATAATAATAATACATTTACACAAATCATTTTAACAATAAGAGAGTGAGCAAAAAACAGCGCTGCGAAACATAGAACGAGAATGTTCCATAATAATAAAGGCTCACAGTGTCACTATTTTCTTCTTCCTAAATTCTCTTAAACCTCTAACGTTAAAAAAAGTTCATTATTGCAAACATCTGCAATAATAACACACGCACTCTCCGCTCAACTACGTTCAAATACTTTCAAATCAAACATGTAGGCGACAACGTTCAAAGAAATGATCACACTCCTGCTATATTATGTGAAATCGCAAATCGAGTATTAACCTAAGCACATTTTTCAATATTCGATTTATTCAATCAGCTTGTTTCATGTTATAGTTATCATTAATGGCATATTTTTATTTTTAATTTATGAATTTTCATTTTAATTGACTTTATTATCGCTTCTGAATCGTACCCCTCTCCTTTTATGGACAATTCCATCTGTAGTTTGTGATTATATTACAAAATTTTTAATCTCTGTCAACACAATGTCTCACTAACTGCGTCAATCTTTCCCTTCCTGACGTTAAGAGATATTCTGCATCCTTCAGCTTACTTTTGTTCTATAATTATGTCTTATTTCGAAGACTAAGTCTGTCAAAATTTGAATTATACATTTTTTGAGTATTATATTTTGAAGAGAATCATGCATTAGACATTATTATTAGTTTTTTTGATACATTTTTCTCTGCATAGTGAGCAATATTTGTATTAAAATAGAAAAGTAATAGTTAAGAACGAGGGGAGGATACTATAAGATGTAAGTTATGTGAAGTTTCTTTTTAATGACTATATTTTTAACAAATATAAATATTATTTCTATGAGTTAAGTAAGATGTGCTTTAATGAATCACGCATTAAAAATTAATAAAGTATATCACAATAATATTTGCAACACAAATGTTGACTAAAAGTTCATTTATTATTTTTACAAATTATGTAATCGATGCAAATGATTGATTGATTGATTGATTAAATCAAATAAAAATTTGCAATTTTTCCTAATTTTATTAGCCAGTAATCTCCACAATATAATTGCAAACTGTAGTGAAAATTTTGACATTCAAAGAATACAATTAATAGCTTCTTATGTAAAGTTGAGCAAGTTCTCTTGCAATTTTCATACTGTCTGTTTGTATTTACTTATTTTGCGTAAATAATCGTATTATTTTTCTTTTCAAATGAGTACATTTTTAATTTGACATTATCTCCGCAATTATTTAATAAAAGAAATTTTGCATAGTGTTATTTCATTTCACAGTTTAATTCTTGAACGGTTAACAGCTTAAAACGCTTTCTTCACAACAAAATGATTGCAAAATGTTCGATTTGGTCACAAAATTATCAGATATTTGTTGAATTTATTATTCGAATTTTATTCTTTTTTGTTATTTAATTAAAAGAATTAAGAATGATTAAAGTGTTAATCTAATTAATTAAGGGGTTGTGTTACTTTTCATTGTAACACTTGTTGTTGATGAAAGTGATGGTACTAGTTTGGATATAGCAGTAGCACTTGCCAAGTACGCAAATGTCCTCTTCAAAGTTGATGAGGTGATTTTATTCCACTGTGAATTATTGAACCATCTACCACTACTTGGTGTGATGAATTTAGTCAAATTCAGGTGAAAAAGATGATAAACGAAGTATGCAAACCTCTGGATGACATTATCTATACTTTACAAGTTGCACCTTTGGCAATGCATGTAGTCAAAAAATTCAGTCATCGATTTTCCAATGTCTTCCTGTACATTTTTTTATTATTTCATTTCTGGTTTTTTTTCCTAATAATGATTCAAAAAAGTTCAAAGTTCAAAAAAGCAGATGGTTGCTTAGTTTTTTTGACAGTTTTAATAAAGTACAGAGTTTTAAGGCGTAAAACTGTATGGTGCAAAAAAACTTTGTTAAATTTGAGTAATTTTTTGATTTGCATAGGATGCATAGTTATTAAATTGCAGAAAATATGCTAAGAATAGGGGTAAAAAAGCTTAAATTAAAATTATATTGAGATTTTTAAAATAAAGTTATTATCATTTAGAGATATTGTATTCAAATTATTTATATTTGGTTATCTGCTGCCGACGGTAGTTATAATCATAGTCACGATCATCACTTGTTGGTACATTCGAGATGAGATTCGTAGTCTCTACCCAATGCTCGTTCCAGTTTGTTTTTAGATAATTTTGATTGCATTTAATTTATTTTCATAAATAAATGATTTTGAAAAATATGCATATTTAGTTCCCAGTGGCAAAGAAAGCTTGTGAACGATATCTTGCGAAAATGGATAAAAAGCTTATTCAAGCTTTGATTAAGAAACAAGAAGAAGAACGCAATACCAATCGTACTATTACCACTGAATCAACCATGGTCTGAAGGCTAAGCACCTTTAATTTAGAACCGAGAAATTTTCGTAGCTTTCTTACTACTTGTAGTGGCTCTCATAATTGATTAATTACTAAGAGTTAATCCTGAAATGAAATTGACTGATAATTTTCAAACTCTGTGTAAGCAAAAGAAGCAAAGAAAAATGACTGTAAAAATGCTCTACTGTAAAAATAAAAAAAAGAAGTTTTGTCACTGCATAGAAAATAAAAATCCAAATAATAATGCCCAAAAATAAAATTCACATCTGAATCACAGAGTACTACTTTTTATTTACATTGGTAATGTTCAAAAGTGATTCAGAATATAATTATAAATTTAAATATTTCTCAAATGAGACTCAATAGAATTCCATCAGGTTTGAATACATTAGGCATATATTAAAATTTTGAATATGAAATTATTTGCATATATTGTGCTTTTATTTTAGTACTACTGAAATAGAGTATAACTTGATCATTCCACGCTTAATTTTTATTCAGTCATTTTAATGCTTTCATTTCAGATCACTTTATTGACTTATCTATTCAAGAATTTAAAAATTTAAAAGTCTAATTGATAAAGCCATTTTATTTGTGTTGAATAATATAGATCTGAATTTTTGCTAGTATCTAACTTCAACGTTATCATTCTTTCGATTAACTAAAATTATTGATACGTAGATATTTGATCTGTCATTTAATTTTGTCATTTTATGTTCAATTTTTCATCATCAAAGCAAGCGTTGTACAGAACGGATCTCATCAGTTTACAATTTCATCTTTAATAATCAAGATTGAATATGTATAATGGTCAAATCAAAACTTGAATGCATAATAATGATTGACTATGCGTAATAATAAATGTGAGGTTGAAATTTGAAATGATTAGTACTTTACTGAAATTATTTACTTAACCTAAATTTAGTTGTTAAGGTGCTGTTAAGAAACGCAATTATGATAGACGTTTGATATTTTTGTCATTGTGCCCATTTTTATTACTTAAAAATAACATCAAACTACTAAATAATATTCATAAGTTCATCCTTTATCATTTCCATTTCCGTTAACTTTGGTATGCCCTAAAATATAAATGAATTTCAGTCATATTGAAAGGAATTCTAAGTTAAATGATTAGATTTGTTATCGCCAAATATATTTTTAACTTACTATTAGCAGCAGCCTTCTTGAATACTCAACATTCTTGCAACAGAACGATGAAAATTATTCAATTTGCATATTTCTGTAACGAATTTGAAGATTTTGTGTTAGTTTTAGACATATTTATCTCATATATTTGCACCTGGCGGCAGATAAACTTGCAGTTACACCTGTAATTTCCATAATATTTACTTCTGTGATAAACTTCACAGAATACAAATTTTGTGATTTAATTTACGAGTAATTTAGCATAATTGAAAGAGAAATCGAGCAGCGAAATGTAATTTAGTTCTGATTTTATCATTGCAAATTTCATATTTACTGGAGAGCAAATATTTGCTCAAAAAAGTAAGCTTTTTTGCTTAAAGCAATACGCGGTCATTCTTGGAAGACTGTGTTTAGTTTGTTAAAAGAAACAAGTTATAAAATGTTGTGCATGTAAATCAAAAACTCGTTGAAATTTGTTACTCTGATTGCATGTATTTCTGATTCCTAATTTATTACTTGTGATATTAATTTTGCTACTATCAAACTATAACAATATAAATATCCTTTTCTGGAATAGTTCAATAAGTATTATCAGTACATATTGCGTGGGAGCATTACCTCTCAAACAAATCTTTCAATGATTTCAGTGTATAAATGACAAAAATCTTACCAAAAATAGTTCTATACTTCTAATCACTTGAAGAAAGTAATTCGAGAGCATACTTGCTTAAGTGATAAAGTTGAAAGTGACGTGCCAG